TAACATTTTTATTTATCTATATAACATAATTATAATATTTTTATTTATCTATATAACATAATTATAATATATATAATTGTCATGTCATCAAAAAAATTAAAAAAAAATGTCAAATGAAATTATTTAATTATCACATCATGTTTAACTGATGGAAAAATAAAAATTGTGTAATTTTTAGAATTAAAAGATCAAAAAAGTAAAAAAAAAATAATCTAAGGATAAAAAAAATGCAAACTTATAAAGTTGAGAGATCAAATTTAGCATTTAACCTTTTCTTTTTCTTTTTCCAGCACATGGAGGTGACGTGGAGGGTATCATTAAGTCCACATCAGCTGTTCCCGTTAAGTTAACGTGCCACCTGAGCAAAAATTAACGGAGGGACCAAAAAAGGGCCGGATTTGTGAACAGTAAGGACCAAAAAGGGGATTTTTTCAGTACAGGGACTAAAAAGGAGCTTTTTCCTATAGTAGAGGGACCAAAAAGGGTATTTAACCTAAATTTTATCTAATAGAGCTTGAAAGAAATTGAGTAAAAAAAGAGGAATTAACATCCCGTAAAGCCGGCTCTACGAAAAAAATTGCATGTGCAAAATCTCGTAAAGCCGGCTGCAAAAATTGTAGAGTTGGCTTTGATAACTTAAACTGGTTGTCCTAAAAACCCTACAATTCAAAAAATAAAAGAGATTATTTCGGTCATACTTATTGATCGAAATAATCCCCCATATCCCCCCCCACAGTCCGCCTAAGAACCACACGTGTTGGCATATTATTTCGGTCAAAATAATTGATCGAAAAATACATCACACTATCCCATGCACCGACAACAAGGTGAGAGTAAAACAGTATTATTTTGGTCAATAAGAATAATCGAAATAATGTCAACTAACGAAGTCCCTAGCTTGTCCACTGCCAGAAAATTTTGGAGAAATTTTGAATTTCCCTCGTTATTCAATTCGGTCATAATTTTTGACTGAAATAATCTCATATTCCTGCTTGCTCGTGAGTTTGAAATTTTCGCTTTTTATTTCGATCAATATGATTGACCGAAATAGTGCTTAAGTTTTTCTATATATAGAGGCTCACTCTTTTCTTTCATTTATTCTTCTTCTCTTCTTCATATCTTTCTTCTCTTCTTCGGTTCTTTCTTCTCTTCCACAAAAATTTTATGAATAAATTGTTACTTATTTATTTCTCTTAATTTTAATTAATTACTTTTTAATTTTCATTAAATTTGTATTTCTTCATCTTAGTACTCCTTTTTATCTTTTTATTTGAAGTTTAATTTAAGTTCTTTAATTTTTTTTATGCAAAATTAATATTAGTAATTTCTTTTAGTTTAACATATTTCTTTTCCCTCCAATTTCTTTGTTTATATAAATATTGTAAATATTTCATAACATTTTATCAACTTATATATATATATATCTTTAATGTTTATACCAATAATTTCATTTTTTCCTTGAAAAGGGTATCTAATTTGGTGAAGAATGGGACAGTATTATGGAGGTAATTATTTTTATTACCATAATTAATATACATATTGTTTTAATTTACTCATAAACATATTTTTTCATTTATTTTGGATTTATTTTGCATGCTTTTAGTTAATATGATTTTATTTGTGATTTTTTTATTTATTTGA